GCTAGTGGAGGTGATGGAATTCCAGTTGAGCTATTTCAAATCCTAAAAGATGATGCTGTGAAAGTGCTGCACTCAATATGCCAGCAAATTTGGAAAACTCAGCAGTGGCCACAGGACTGGAAAAGGTCAGTTTTCATTCCAATCCCAAAGAAAGGCAATGCCAAAGAATGCTCAAACTACTGCACAATTGCATTCATCTCACACGCTAGTAAAGTAATGCTTAAAATTCTACAAGCCAAGCTTCAACAGTATGTGAACCATGAACTTCCAGATGTCCAGGCTGGATTTAGAAAAGGCAGAGGAACCAGAGATCAAATTGCCAACATCCATTGGATTATCAAAAAAGCTAGTGAGTTCCAGAAAAACATCTACTTCTGCCTTATCGACGATGTCAAATCCTTTCACTGTATGGATTATAATAAACTGTGGAAAATTCTAAAAGAGATGGGAATACCAGACCACCTTACCCACCTCATGAGAAATCTGTATGCAAGTCAGGAAGCAACAGTTAGAAGTGGACATGGAACAACAGACTGGTTCCAAATAGGGAAAGGAGTACGTCAAAGCTGTATATTGTCACCTTGCTTATTTAACTAATATGCAGAGTACATCATGGAAAACGCTGGACTGGATGAAGCACAAGCTGGAATCAAGATTGCCGGGAGAAATATCAGTAACCTCACTTATGCAGATGATACCGTTCCTATAGCAGAAAGCAAAGAACTAAAAAGCCTCTTAATGAATGTGAAAGAGGAGAGTGAAAAACTTGGCTTAAAACTCAACATTAAAAAAACAAAGATCATGGCATCCAGTCCCATCACTTCATGACAAATAGATGGGGAAATAATGGAAACAGTGACAGACTAATTTTGGGGGCTCCAAAATCACTGCAGATGGTTACTGCAGCCATGAAATTAAAAGATGCTTATTCCTTGGAAGAAAAGTTATGACCAACCTCGACAGCATATTAAAAAGCAGAGACATTGCCAACAAATGTCCATCTAGTCAAAGCTATGGTTTTTCCAGTAGTCACGTATGCATGTGAGAGTTGGACTATAAAGAAAGCTGAGCTCCAAAGAATTGATGCTTTTGAACTGTGGTGTTGGAGAAGACTCTGAGAGTCCCTTGGACTGCAAGGAGATTCAACCAGTCCATCCTAAAAGAAATGAGTCCTGAATATTCACTGGAAGAACTAATGCTGAAGCTGAAAACTCTAATACTTTGGTCACCTTATGTGAAAAATTGCCTCATTTGAAAAGACCCTGATGCTGGCAAAGATTCAAGCAGGAGAAGGGGATGACAGAGGATGAGATGGTTGGACATGAGTTGGAGTAAACTTTGGGAGTTGGTGATGGACAGGGAGGCCTGGCGTGCTGCAGTCCTTGGTGGTCACAGAGTCAGACACAACTGAGCAACTGAACTGAACTCAACTGAACTGATATAGACTGAATGTTTGTGCCCCTTCAAAATTCACACACTGAACCTATTTCCCAGCATCATGGTGTTTGGAGGTGAGGACTCTGGGCAGAGCCCTCCTAAAGGGGTCTAGCACCCTTATAAAAGTAGCCCCTAGAGCTCCCTGGCACCTTCCACTGTGTGAGGACACAGTAAGAAGACAGAACCAGGAAGCAGACTCTCACCTGCTTCCAGATTTGTCAGAAAGAAATTTCTTTTATAAGCAACCCAGCCTATGGTATTTTGTTACAGTAGCCCTGATGGATTGACACCTGGCCAAATCTTTTGGTAGGAATCTTCAAGTATCTTTTACTTCCATTCAATGTCAATCTTAAAACTTCTAAATACACTGTATTTCCTTTGTAACTTGCATTCTACACTGTAAACAACTGATCTGTGTAGCTTAAAAAAAAAAAAGGCATGAAAGTTATTCCTTCTAAATCTGATTTGATTCTATTACCTTTGGAGACAAAGATGACCCAGAGAGGTGGGCACTTAGAGTTTGCTTATTCTATTATTCCTCCTGCCTTTCAGAAATTTAAAACAAAAAGCAAAAAAAAAAAAAAAAAAAAACTTAACTTGACAAGATTGGAACAGCAAGGCAGTCACAGTAATTTGTCACTTTACTACTTATAAATTCATACTATTTCCCTGCTCTGGACATTAATGTATTAAAACTTACAGAAGTGGATAAACTCAAGAACTGCTTTGAAACCTCACTTTAATAAAAAATTTTAATATTCCTAGTTATCTTTTCTCGTATTTCACTAACTCAAAGAAATACACTGCAAAACTGATCACCAGTTAAACTGAGTATCCAAAGACCTAATTTAATTTTTTGAGACACTCAACTTGGGACTTCCCTGGTGGTCCAGTGGTTAAGAACTTGCCTTGCAATGAAGGGTACACTGGTTCGATTCCTGGTCTGAGAAGATCCCACATGCCAAGGGGCAACCAAGCCCATGTGCGGCGACCACTGAGCCAAGCTCTGGAATCCATGTGCTGCGACGACTGAAGCCCGCGTGCCTAGAGCCCACGCTCTGCAACCAGAGAAGCCACTGCCACAAGCCTGGGCGCTGCAACTGGAGTAGCCCCTACTCTAGTAGAGAAAGCCCGTGCACAGAGGTGAAGACCCAGGACAGCAAACCTATTTAAAGAAAGAAAGAAAAGACACCTGTTAATCCCAGAACAAGCATCTATACTTTGTTATTTTAAAGCATGTGTATATGTGTATTTAACTGGCATTTTATAACCTAAATGTACATTGGTGTGAGCTGGTTAAACTCTCTTACCTCCAAAGAATGTGGTCATTATAAAGGTATATGTATAAACTTTAAAAGGACAATGTCCTGATATGAAATGACTTCTAAAATATGTTTAGGGAAAAAATACAGAACTTTGTGTATATATACATATATTTTAAAGGAAGTGTATGTTACACTTGAATATAAATATGCAATGTATCTTTAGAAAGATACCTAAGGAACTGGTAATCACTGCATCTAGAACAAAGGTATCTTTCATTGTATGGCCTTTGTTCTGCTTGAATTAAAAAAAAAATCCTGTGCATGCTCTTCCTACTTAAAATTTTTTAAGAGTATTTTACATGTTACTATATAGGATATGCTTATAAATCAGTAAGAGAAAGTTAAATACTGAAATAGGGAAATGGGCCAATGAAAAGGAAAAGCAATTCACTAAAAAAAATATAAATCACCATCAAATGTGGAAAAATACATAACCCATTACTAGTAAAAAGAAGTAACAAAACCAAAAGTATCATTTCCCCTCTCTTGATTTGGTAAAAATTCAAGCACCTTATAGATCTGATAAGGATATGGGAAACTTCCATTGGTAGAAGTTAAACTTTTAAAGAAGGCAATTTGGCAGTATCCATAAAAACTGAAATGTGCACAGGTCAGCAGTCTTGCTTACGCAATCTACAGTTACACTCGATCAAGTGCATAAGGATATATTACCCCAGCATACAGAAGCAATATTATCACAGTGACCTACAGCACAAGAACTGTCATCACACTGCCTGGGTTTAAATCCCACATCCTAGCTTGGTGATATTGGCAAATTTCTTAATTCTACAGTCTTAGGGTCATATACGTTACAGAAAGATCATGTAGGTACCCATTAATAGTAAAAATAATTATATGTGAATCAGTATGTGAAGGAGTCAAACTCATTTTTTAAATATTAGATAACAGACCAGGATAAAGATGGAATCCCAAACTTAATAGGCGTTTATAAGAGAATACAGATTTTCCATATTTACTTGCCAAAATTTCCTAGAAAAAAAAAATGAGAAGCATTTTTGCAAACATTTACCTTACTCTCATGCTCTCAGTTATTAGGTGACACATTCCAAAGAGCAAATGAATTGCACATAATACCCATAACACTGAGTCCTTACCTTAGATATTACTGGTGTACAGAAGTCATAAAATTGAACTGGAAGACAATTTCCTAGTTTGAAACCTAGCTTTGGTTACGATTTTAAAATTGTACAAAATTAATTTTTTATGTATGAAAAATTAAACATTACAGATAAATCTAAAGTTCCTTGTGACTGCCCTCCACTCCAGTAGTCAATGTCATCAGTTTAGTGCATACCCTTAACAAACCTTTTTCTGTAAGTTTACATACTTAAATGTAACCATCAAAAATGTATTGTTCTGAAAACCTTTGTTATTATTTTATTTGGCAACATATCTAAGTATGTCCTGACACTGTACCTCTATTTCTTTTCTAAGAGAACTCCTTTTTTTTTGGCTATGAAGCTGAGTTTTGCTCCTCTTTCTCCTCCCTCTCTGGGAAGCCTGTGTAACTAATCGAAGAGCCTTTGTGCTACTGAAGAACCTCCCCTCAAGCTTATAATATTCTTCACAGATGCTTATGGTAAATGCTGAATACGTTTCTTTTTTTCCCCAGCCATGCTGTGTGGCATGTGGGATCTTAGTTACCCTACCAGGGAATGAACCCATGCCCCCTGCATTGGAAGTGCAGTTTCAACTACTAGATTGCCAGGAAAGTTCTCCAAATACATTTCTGAGAGGATTAATGAAAAGAGATGTTTATGAGAATCCAGGAATTACATTTTTTCCTTTACAATGAATACACCACAGCATATTTAAAATTTCAAGGACACTTTCATCACTTTACACACTTTTCAATAACCATATATTTAAAATAAAAATAAAATATGTAGTCCAAGAACATCTCAGTGATTTTTACATTGATATGTGCTCAGAAATAAATATGATGCTAGTGGTAAAAGAACCCGCCTGCCAACGCAGGAGACCTAAGAGATGTGGGTTTGATTCCTGGGTTGGGAAGATCCCCTGCAGGAGGGCAAAGCAACTACTCCAGTATATTGCCTGGAGAATTGCAGGGACAGAGGAGCCTAACGAGCTACTGTCCATAGGGTCGCAAAGAGTAGGACATGACTGAAGCAACTTAGCACACAGAAATAAAACATTTCTTTGGAAAAAATTAAATAGATTGACTACAGAAATAAAGACAATCTAAACACTGAGTCCAAGTAATCTAATTTTAATAGAAACAGTCACCTTGGAGCAATTAAAAAGCATCTGACTAAAACAAAAGGTTCAATGATGATACTTCTAAGATAAACATTTCATTAAAAAAAAATTTGGGGGGAGCCACATGGCATGCACGAAGAGATTGAATACGTGCCCCCTACAGCGCAAGTGCGGAGTCCTGACCACTGAATCACCAGGGAATTCCCACAGATTGACTGATAAGATTTATTGATTACTCATTTATTGACTGTCATGCCGCAGAGTGTGATGGATCTTGGTCTGCCAACCAGGGATTGAACTCAGGCCCTCAGCAGTGAGAACACCAAGTCCTAATCACTGGAACACCAGGGAATTCCCTTAAGATGGACATTTTTCAAATGATTAATATATTTGCTGTAAACTGTGTAAATTGATAATTAAAAAAATTTAAATTAAGAAAACTGTTAGGCTGCTTGGCCAAAAAACATTACACTGGCTTAAGGTGAATTACTTAACATTTTATTAGAAAAATACATTGTTTTTACAATATATTACTTTAAAAAAGCTTATATTTCTATTATCAAAAATGAATTAATGTTGAAAGAAATTATATGTACATGAGTGTGTATGTGTCCACATTCACTCTACCCACAAAACATTTAAAATACCACTCAAGGGACTCTGACAGCAGTCCAGTGGTTAAGACTCTGTGCTTTCACTGCAAAAAAAAAAACAAAAACAAAACCAAAACACTTCAACTTTAATTCCTTAGGTCTGTACCAAATCTTATTTGTAGCGTTGGGACATCAGGAAACTCAGTTACCTGTGTATCTCTCTCAAAGTATTCCTAGATTCTTTTCTTTTACTTAGCTTAAATATTAGCTCTGGATAATTAAAACCTGTATCAATGTAAATGTAATAAAAATAACTTAAAATGTAAATCAGACCAAAAAAAGTAGCTGTAACAGACTCCAAAACCAAATATAAATCAGTTTTGATAGCTGAATATCTTGGGTTACCAGTACATCTTTTATTCATCATATAAGTGAACAACCAAAACAATCAAGACAACTACAGCTAAATAATCATAGTTCACATTTAGAAAATATTACCTTGTCATTAAATGGTCAGGTTTATTATCTGAAATATCAAAATGTTTTATTATTTTCTACTTTTAAAGTTCAGACTTTAAAACTAGTCAGAAAAGCTTTACTTCAAATACTACCAATAATATAAACAATTTAATATATTTAGTACAACCTGATTTTAAGGCTTTTCTTCAATGTTCGACCATATAATCTTTTAGGATCAAGACAGTTATGTTATATATTCAAAGAAAAAATTTCCCAAACTTGTTTTTGTAAATTAATAAAGAACTTACTAATCGAAGAACTTATAACAGAGTCAACAATGATTAAAATTAAAATCTTTTTATTAATTGATATGGTAAATACTGTCCCCTACTAAAAAACAATGACATTAGTCTTTCAATCTGTCAAGCTTAGCTAAACTGAAAATCATGTGTCTCTTTTCTATATCGTATGTTGACATGATACAGGATGCAGGATGTAAAAATCAATTTAACAGACATTAAGTAATTGTATAGACATGTAGAATCTTAGATAAATGGTCAAAATTATAAGTGAATGTGGGCACATGGATATTTCTATGTACACTGATGTGTTTAACAGAAAATACGTTTGCAGTGATTTCTGGTAACCAGCTTGCTTTCTCTGAATCTTTAAATACCCAGCTCCAAATCTTCCAGCTCTTGGAGAAGGGCTTTCTCTTTCTGAATTTTCTCCAACTAGAAAAGTTTAAAACAATAAAGTTATTAAACAGGGAATGAAGTAATCATTAGCTCAATAGTCACATAGCAAAAGAAAAAAAATTTAGAGACAGAATATACCTGAGACTTTACCAGATTTTTTGGTAACCACAGATTTAAAAAATACAGATTAGAAACAAGGTCTAATTTGTTGTTTGATATGAATCAAGTACTTGGGTGCAATCTCAAAAATGACAGAATGATCTCTGTTCATTTCCAAAGCAAACCATTCAATATCACCATAACCCAAGCCTATGCTCCAACCACTAATGCCAAGAAGCTGGAATGGTCTCTATGATGACCTATAAGACCTTCCAGAACTAACACCAAAAAAAGATGTCTCTTTCATCATAGGGGACTGGAATGCAAAAGTAGGAAGTCAAGAGATACCTGGAGTAACAGGCAACTTTGGCCTTGGAGTACAGAATGAAGCAGGGCAAAGGCTAACAGAGTTTTGCCAAGAGAACCCACTGGTCATAGCAAACACCCTCTTCAACAACACAAAAGGAGACTCTACACACGGACATCACCAGGTGGTCCACACCGAAATCAGACTGATTCTGTTCTTTGCAGCTGAAGATGGAGAAGCTCTCTACAGTCGGCAAAAACAAGACTGGGAGCTGACTGTGGCCCAGATCATGAACTCCCTATTGCCAAATTCAGACTTAAATTGAAGAAAAGTAGGGAAAATCACTAGATCATTCGGGTATGACCTAAATCAAATCCCTTACAATTATACAGTGGAAGTGACAGAGTCAAGGGATTAGATCTGATATAATGCCTGAAGAACTATGGACAGAGGTTTGTGACATTGTATAGGAGGCGGTGATCAAGGCCATCCCCAAGAAAAAGAAATGTAAACATGCATAATGGTTGTCTAAGGAGGCCTTACAAATAGCTGAGAAAAGAAGAGAAGCTAAAGGCAAAGGAGAAAAGGAAAGATACATCCATCTTAATGCAGAGTTCCAAAGAATAGCAAGGAGACATAAGGAAGTCCTCCTCAGTGATTAGTGCAAAGAAATAGAGGAAAACAACAGAATGGGAAAGACTAGAGATCTCTTCAAGAAAATTAGATACCGAGGGAACATTTCATGCAAAGATGGGTTCAATAAAGGACAGAAATGGTGTGGACCTAAAAGCAGAAGATATTAAGAAGAGGTGGCAAGAATACACAGAAGAACTATACAAAAAAGATCTTCATGACCCAGATAATCACGATGGTGTGATCACTCACCTAGAGCCAGACATTCTGGAATGCAAAGTCAAGTGGGTCTTAGGAAGCATCACTAAGAAAAAAGCTTGTGGAGGTGATGGAATTCCAGGTGAGCTGTTTCAAATCCTAAAAGGTGATGCTGTGCATGTACTACACTCAATATGCCAGCAAATTTGGAAAAAGNAGAGACTTTATTTTCTTGGGCTCCAGAATCACTGCAGATGGTGACTGCAGCCATGAAATTAAAAAATGCTTGCTCCTTGGAAGCAAAGCTATGACCAACTTAGCATATTAAAAAGCAGAGACATTGCCAACAAAGGTCCTAGTCAAAGCTATGGTTTTTCCAGTAGTCTCATGTGGATGTGAGAGTTGGACTATCAAGAAACCTGAGCACCCAAGAATTGATACTTTCTAACTGTGGTGTTGGAGAAGACTCTGAGAGTCCCTGGGACTGCAAGGAGATCAAACCAGTCAATCCTAAATGAAATCAGTCCTGAATATTGACTGGAAGGACTGATGCTGAACTTGAAGCTCCAATACTTTGGCCACCTGATGTGAAGAACTGACTCATGTGAAAGACCCTGATGCTGGGAAAGACTGAAGGCAGGAGAAGGAGACAAGAGAGGATGAGATGGTTGGACAGCATCACTGACTCAATGGACATGAGTTTGAGCAAGCTCCAGGAGTTGGTGATGGACAGGGAAGCCTGGTGTGCTGCAGTCCATGGGGTCATAAAGAGTCGGACATGACTGAGCAACTGAATTGATGAATCAAGAAGACAAAAAACAGAGCTGTCTTACTGCATCCTCTACGTCTAATAAATCTTCCATTCTACACTTGAGCTTCAGAGTGTGGAGGACAGGAGGAAGGAAAAGGGGCCACAGGACAGTGTGACCTGAGATACAGAAAAAGAAGAGAATCTTCTATTTGTCTAACATAGTAAGCCAGCAGCTACAGTGTTAGTGTCTTACAGGAAATAGGGACTCCCTCATTCACCATGATCCACGTTTTCCCCTATCCTTGCATATTTCAAAAGAAGTTTAAAAATCTATATACTCTTTAATCTGATTAAATAGTTGCTTGTAATAAAAAGGGGAAGGGTGGTAGTAACTATGAGCCCGAATGAAAAATGCAGAAAAGACCTGATTTTTTTCCAGCTGTTTTCCAGCTGCTGCTTGTTCTTTCAGCTGTTCAATTGCTTTCAGTTTCTGTAAACAACAAACAGGAGTCAAAAGGAAGAAAGAATAAGTAATTCCAGAATGCAAAAACTTTCAAAATTAAGCATAAAATTGTGTAATTAAGAACATGAAATTTGGTATTTTTCAAAATATTAATATAACTATATATGTACATCTATGTATATATATGTACATGTATATGTATGTAAATATATGTCTAATTTCACCATTTATTTCAGTACCTCATGGTACCTGGACCATGTTTTAGCTTTAAGAGAAACTCTGTAATGCAACCTGGGAAGCGCTCTAGAAACCTGATTTTACCTCCAAGGCCACCATCATACAGTGGTTACAATATGACAAGTTAATAAATTTCCTTTTGTACCTCGTTCTTCATTTTTAAAAATGGGATGAATATTTGTCCTACCTGTCTCACAAGGGTCTAATGAAGTAGTGAGTATCAAAATGTTCAAATGTACATTATTTCTTATTACTCTAAAAATCAGTAATAAAGGACTAATATCCCTTAGACATCTGTGAATAAAACTAAAATCAGTACCATTCCTAAGTGACAGTATATTTCATGGTGAGAAAGCAACAAGGATTGCTACAAACCTCTCAGATGCCTGTCTTTAGGCATCTAAACACTATTTCCTTTATATAATCCTCACATGTTCTTTCAATACACACATGTGCTTTGCACTGAAGTCTCCCACCTTCTTTAGGTTCTTGATTTTTTTGTCTGTCTCAGGGTCCCCGGAAGTTGCCTGAGAAACAGTATTTCGTGGAGTGCTTTGCGGGGCAGGAGCAGGTGCTGTATCTGGACTCTTGTCACTTCTTGCTTCCTGCAGGAAATATTTTCAAGAATTCAGTTTTCAAAAACGAAATTATCGAAGTATTTCAACAAATACAGGCTTTTAGAAAACAAAATATTATTTTATCTTTTACACATTTTATATAAAGAAAGCAACTGAATTGCTGGCCCCAAGTATGTTACACCGTCCCATAATAGCTATAATAAAGCTTAAAGAAACATTTCAGATATCCAAAAGGCTAGATGTGCAATGTAAAGGAACAGTGACGTAGTAACGAATAACCCGACAGCACTGGGGAACTCCCCGGCGGCCCAGTGGCTCAGGACTCTGCACTGCTGCTGCAGGGCACACAGCTTCAAGCCTGGTCCCATAACTGAAGATCCCTCAAGCCGCGTGATGCAGCCAAAGAAAAAAGGATTTTAGTAATATTAGCAAAATGTAATGAAAATATTATGTTAGTAATGTAAAATATAATTAATATTATAATGACAAATGGAAAGAAATGAAATGACCTTAGTAAACGAGGAGATTACTGTTTCAGCCAACAAGCATGCTAGATTTTTGGTTATTTTGGGATGTGCTGTTATATGGATGATTTGGAAATGCGAGAGGGCTTATCTAACTAAGGTGTGTGAAATTTCACTCTTGGGATATCCTCCAAAACTGTATGTAAACTCAAGTACACATAACAGATGATGCTACAGGGTAAATCCCACAGAGATTTATTTACAATCAGAGCAATTCGCCTCAGCAACACTGTGCCATGGAGCACTTTTCAAGTAGGGCTTCTACTTCTTCCTTACAGAGTTCCCAGTGGAATACACAGACTCTGCAAGACTCTAGAACCTCTTAGAGTTCTGAAATACTCCAAAGTATTGGAATACTTTTCCACACAAAGTTTGGAATACTCCAAACTCCCAAAGCATCCCAGGGGAACATGGGACTGGGTATCACTTCTAAATCTCCAAATCTAAAAATGTCTGCCGGAGAGTTTTTAGACAGTGCAGAATCGGACCATTTTTTTTTCTTTTTTAGAGTCATGTTGGTTGTAATTTGTACACTACAATCCACAAATGCTAATTCCTAATCTTCTATGTGAAAACATTACTGAGCATTTAAGAGTGTTCAGAAAGAAATTATTTAGTTTCGACCCTTAAGGAGCCTGTAAGTTCTGATAATATGGTAAAGTTTGGTATTTTTCATAATAATAAAAAATTAAAGGAGAAATAAGAGACATACTCTGCCTACCAAAATTCACTTTTGAAATCTGATAAAAAAACTTTTAAAAATTATTTATTTTTATTTATTTTGGGGCCGTACTGGGTCAAATAGTACTGGGTCCGCTCTTTACTGCAGAATCCTTTAGTTGTGGCATGTGGGATCTAGTCCCCTGACCAGAGATGGAACTCGGGTCCTTTGCAGTGAAAATGCAGAGTCTTAGCCACTGGATCACCAAGGAAGTCGCCTCAATTTTTTCAATTTAGTTGTTTGTGGGAATATCCTGGCAGTCCACTTTCACAGCTGAGGGCCTGGGTTCCATCCTTGGTGGGAGAACTAAGAGCCTGTAAGCTGGGTGGCATGTCCAAAAAAATAAAAATGTAGTTGTTTGTAATCAGCTGAGAATACTAATTTTCTAGGAAGATTAACGTCATATAAAAAACTATTAAAGTTAAGTGAAATATGACACAATTTCTCCATATTTTAAATAACAAAGAGTAAGTCAAAATGTCTATGTTACTGTATTTAAATTCTGGTCATTCTCTGGAAAGGCTATGCATATGATAAGATTAAAATCTTTGTTTCAATTATTTTTTTATAATGACGGATAAGTTCATAGAATCACTATCAATTTATAAAAGTACTTGGTTAGATTATATACATCTGACTCCTTCTGTTTGGCTCCTTAATTCACAGTCAGGCAAAAGAAAGAAGGTCTGGTTAAGGTGAGGTCCAATCATAGATGGTTTACCTTCATTCTACCACACAATCATAACTTTTCCTATCTTCATCTAGTTGTCTCAAAAAAAATAATAATTCTTTGCATACTGATACAATTATCTTGAAAGTAGAAAACATTTTACTCTCACTGAGAAACCATGCAAAGAGCAACTCCACAATGATGGGTTAGTAGTATCATCTTTAGTAAATAACATGTGTCGGTGATTACATGGCTGTATGAAGTGGGGTGTGGGAGAGTGTTTCTGTAATTATTACGTTTTACAGTAAAAGCACTCATTGTTTTTTCAAAAGAGCCACAGGGCTGTCATTAAGAAAGTCTCTACTTTAATATCAGCCTTTCTAAATTAGAAAACTGAGTCTATGACCCTCTTCGTAAAATTTTATGTACTCAATATCAGAAAAACACACAAAATAAACAACTAATATTTTATTACAAAGGGATTTTACTTAGCTCAGTACCAGCAATGGTCTTAGTAAAAATATCTTCTGATAAAGAGGAAGAAATACCACTTATAAAAAATAGGATTCTATGTTGAAAGGATTTCTGAAGACCCTTAAATCTCAATTAGAAGGAATCTTACACAGTCATTATAAAAAACAGGATGGCAGTTCCTCAAGAAATTAAACACAGAGCTACCATATTATCCAGCAATCTCTCTTCCGGGAATATCTATCCAAAGGAAACAAAATCATTATTCCAAAGAGGTATCTGTACTCCCAGGTTTGTCGCAGTATTATTTATAATAGCCAGGGTATGGAAACAAGCTAAGTGTGTGTCAACAAAAGAATGAATATAGAAAATGTAATATATAAACATTAAACATATACAGAGTAGAACAGTATCCAGCCATAAAAAAAATAAAATAAAAAGGAAATCCTACCATTTGCAACAACATGTATGAACCTGGAGGGCATTATGCTAAGTGCAAAAAGCCAGAAAGAGAAAGATAAACAGATAAATACTGCATGGCATCACTTATAAATGGAATCTAAAAAAGAGAGAAGTCAAAATCACGTAAATGGAGAGTAGAAATGGTGGCTGTGGGGAGCTAAAGGGAATGGGGGATGGGAGAAATGGGAAGGGGCTGGTAAAAGGGTACAAACTTTCAGTTACAGCATGAATAAGGTTTGAGGATATCATGTATAATATGGTGACTATAGTTGATAATACTGCATTATACTGAACACAGTGATTGAAATTTGCTAAGAAAGCAGAACTGCTTCCTTAGAAATGCTCCATCCCTCAGAAGTAAATACGTAAGGTGATATATGTGTTAATTAACCTGATTGCAGGAATCCTATTACAATGTATACCTATATCATATCATCATGTTGGACACTTTAAGATTCTTATTTGTCAATTACACCTGTAATCATTAGCTGGAAAACCACCACCAACAAAAAAGGAATCTTAGCTACTAGTCTGTAACATTTGGGACGAGCAGAGGTCCCTACCCACTCTGATGAGAGGCTAAGTCCTGCTTTTACACAAGTCTAATACGTGGACTAGTTCATTTTACTTGGAATCACCAAAGCCTGGGCTATTTAAAGATATTTCTGGAGATAAAAATATATCAACTACAAAAGAATACACCAATATCTTAAGCCCAGATCTTAGCAGAATATGGTTGCACAATGAAATTCTACTGGAGAAGAAAATGGCAACCCACTCCAGTATTTTTGCCTGGAGAAGCCCAAGGACAGAGGAGCCTGGCGGGCTACAGTCCCTGGGGTCACAAAGAGTCAGACACGACTAAGTGACTGAAGATGAAAGAAATTCTGTACCTTAAAATAGTAACTGCCAACCAAAACACCCAAGTAACCTAGAACTGTCAAAATCTAAGCATGAATAGGCAAGACCAAAGTGTCTGAACCTCACAAATGTGATTAGCACGACTTTACTAGCCACGTTTCTAGTCCTGCTGGTCTCACTACCACCATAAGCCACAAGCCGTCACCATTTACTCGTCAATTGTTATGCTGGTGTGGTTTTCCAACTACGAAGTATATAAAAAATTATTTTAAAACAAATCCACCGTTTGGACACTTCTGGTATTTAGATTTCTAGCTGAACAATTTCCTGTAGTAATCTACTGAGCGACAAAGCGGCTTCATAACCTTGTAATTTCTGGCCCACAACTACGTTTTACAACCTGACAGTCAACTTTTAGGACTGCAGTTCTTTAAACTTTAAGGCGCAGGCTAATTTAACTGGCTTGTCTGTTTTGGTTTTGAAAAGATAAGTATCCCAAGTACCTGCTTTGCAGCTTTCTTAGCCTCATGCTTCCTTTGATTTTTAAGGGCTGTTTTTGATAATGGTTTCTCATTTCCTGGTTGTGGCTTCATATTCTGAGGTGGTTCTTCTTCATGCTATGGAAAATACAATACATGATTTTGAAATGGAGTACATGTTTTTAAAAACATATACAACAAATTATACAATTTTGCTAGTACACGACAAATTTATTTTATCAAATTTAGCTTAAGTTCACTGACAATATTTCAAAACTCTTGTGGCAGACATACTTGTATGGTCAGGATGGATTTAATAAGGATCTTCCTATTAGTTGATATACTGGGAGCTAAAGGGAATGGGGGATGGGAGAAATGGGAAGGGGCTGGTAAAAGGGTACAAACTTTCAGTTACAGCATGAATAAGGTTTGAGGATATCATGTATAATATGGTGACTATAGTTGATAATACTGCATTATACTGAACACAGTGATTGAAATTTGCTAAGAAAGCAGAACTGCTTCCTTAGAAATGCTCCATCCCTCAGAAGTAAATACGTAAGGTGATATATGTGTTAATTAACCTGATTGCAGGAATCCTATTACAATGTATACCTATATCATATCATCATGTTGGACACTTTAAGATTCTTATTTGTCAATTACACCTGTAATCATTAGCTGGAAAACCACCACCAACAAAAAAGGAATCTTAGCTACTAGTCCGTAACATTTGGGACGAGCAGAGGTCCCTACCCACTCTGATGAGAGGCTAAGTCCTGCTTTTACACAAGTCTAATACGTGGACTAGTTCATTTTACTTGGAATCACCAAAGCCTGGGCTATTTAAAGATATTTCTGGAGATAAAAATATATCAACTACAAAAGAATACACCAATATCTTAAGCCCAGATCTTAGCAGAATATGGTTGCACAATGAAATTCTACTGGAGAAGAAAATGGCAACCCACTCCAGTATTTTTGCCTGGAGAAGCCCAAGGACAGAGGAGCCTGGCGGGCTACAGTCCCTGGGGTCACAAAGAGTCAGACACGACTAAGTGACTGAAGATGAAAGAAATTCTGTACCTTAAAATAGTAACTGCCAACCAAAACACCCAAGTAACCTAGAACTGTCAAAATCTAAGCATGAATAGGCAAGACCAAAGTGTCTGAACCTCACAAATGTGATTAGCACGACTTTACTAGCCACGTTTCTAGTCCTGCTGGTCTCACTACCACCATAAGCCACAAGCCGTCACCATTTACTCGTCAATTGTTATGCTGGTGTGGTTTTCCAACTACGAAGTATATAAAAAATTATTTTAAAACAAATCCACCATTTGGACACTTCTGGTATTTAGATTTCTAGCTGAACAATTTCCTGTAGTAATCTACTGAGCGACAAAGCGGCTTCATAACCTTGTAATTTCTGGCCCACAACTACGTTTTACAACCTGACAGTCAACTTTTAGGACTGCAGTTCTTTAAACTTTAAGGCGCAGGCTAATTTAACTGGCTTGTCTGTTTTGGTTTTGAAAAGATAAGTATCCCAAGTACCTGCTTTGCAGCTTTCTTAGCCTCATGCTTCCTTTGATTTTTAAGGGCTGTTTTTGATAATGGTTTCTCATTTCCTGGTTGTGGCTTCATATTCTGAGGTGGTTCTTCTTCATGCTATGGAAAATACAATACATGATTTTGAAATGGAGTACATGTTTTTAAAAACATATACAACAAATTATACAATTTTGCTAGTACACGACAAATTTATTTTATCAAATTTAGCTTAAGTTCACTGACAATATTTCAAAACTCTTGTGGCAGACATACTTGTATGGTCAGGATGGATTTAATAAGGATCTTCCTATTAGTTGATATACGATATCTTTTAATTATATAAGAGCCAGCAAAATTTACTTTATTTTTGTTTAAACAATGGCATTTTTCTTAGTACTACCATTGACACATGATTTTTATAAAATTAGATACTAACAATAGCTTCTTCTGTGGTCCTTTTGGATCTGACTACTGCCAAAAGAAATCCAGCTGCCTCAATTATTTTCTTTGCACAAATAGTCAATTGATAGATCTTTACTTGCAAAATCAGAGATTAGAAGATAAATGGAAAAAAAAAAACTGACAGTAAGAAAACAAATCGAATAGGAAGGGGTAAATAAATTACATAATTATAAATCCAGCTAACATAATGAATAAGTCTTTAAAAAACTAAGCAACTTGTCAGACTATACAATGAAAACAATCATTTTCATCATCAGATATAATCATTAACTACATTCAATAAGAGGGTGAATTACATGTAGGATCAAGAAGGATTTAATGTAAAACATGATGATTATACTTGATAACACTATTGCATAACTATACAGCTCAAATTCCTTGAGAGTAGAATTCAAATGCTCTCAAAAAATAAATAAATAAGGTTGTAGATGTGTTAATCCCCAGGTGAGAGGAAACCTTTTCAATGTATATCAAATTACTATGATGTACCCTTTAAATATCTTACAATTTTATAGATAAATTATGTTCCAATGAAGCTGGGGGTGGGGGAGGGAGTAACACCAGAGTAGTTGCGGGCAACATGCAGTATAAATAACAGAACTCAACTTCTTATGAGATTCATCTACTTACTGATTTCTCTCAACTTTGCTATAATCTGAATGCTGTCTCTTAAACTATCCATACTCAGCACATCAAAAGGACCAGATCGCCAAGAAGTTTTTTGAGTACTAGACCTCAGAGCTGTGTTATACTTACAAGTGCCATAATCAGATCGGCAGGGATCAAACATTTAAGATACAGAGTAACAGCAAAAAACCGTAAGGTGATTTTTATCTTCGCAGCTTCACTAACTATAGAAAGCATCAAAGTTCTATGTGTGAACATACCCTACTTGAAGCAAGTGAATATATGAGAATCCATATTTGTACAAGAGAGAAATTTGCACAGCAAGCCTTTCACTTTTTTAATATCCACTGCTCATGATAGTTAAGATATACTAATATTTACTGAACATTTGTGTTATACATCAAAATTCTTTCAATTGTGAGCTCTTCTATATAGTATCTTGCTTTAGTTGAAAAGTTTCCACTCATGAGAACTTCAAAAAAAGACAAAGCAATTAAGAAAGATGCAAGAAAGGATGAAGTCTCTTCCACTCTATAAGCATCATGTAGCCATTGACAGACTTAAAAAACCCACACGGTTATTACGGATCACAAGCTTTTCTGGCTTTAGTATGTGTCTACTCATCTTTGTTATAATCTGAATGCTGTCTTTAAACTATTGATACTCAGAAACTTCATTCTTACTAATAAAATTTCTTTCTTCAGTAACATTAACTCTAACATTGTTTTGATGAACACATTATAAAAGTGAAGCTTCTCTGAAAGTCAAGAAATACTTCCTTAATTAATATAGAAATTTTTACTTATAAATAAAGTAATCTTTTTTCTTCAGGGGAAAGAATCCAAACACATTTTTCCCTCCTTCTTCTATGTAACCTTCTTTCTTTGTGAAATTATCAACCAGGCTATCTTTGTTTCTAGTAATTTCTTGACAATATTTTCTTTGTCATTTAGCTCTCTTCTGGAATTAAATACATACAAAAATTTCTCATTCATAGGCATGTAGCTCCTTCAACTAAAATGATGTGATAGGGTCACATAATCCCCAGGTTATATACAAAAGTAAAAATTTAGTGGAAATCTTAACTGTCAAAAGTTTGGTTTTAAGAAGCTCTTACAGAGTTTTTTCCCACTATTTTCAAAGTGTATTCTTTCTATTTTAATTTCTCCCTCCACTGACCAAATTAGTTTTATGAGTCAGAACAAAAATATATACTATTAATAATTCAGAATTTCTTTCTCTTGTGCTAACTTACACAGATTTAGAAAGCAGGATGGGTTGAGGTCACTTTTTTCATCTTGTGTAAGAAAAATTTCAATTGAGAGAGAACAAATTTTAAGACTGATATAGCCTCTGAAAAAATCTAAAGACAAAAATAGTAAATAGGGCTTAATTTGTTATATGTTTTTATATATTTTTACTAAATCACAATGCAACAGAAATGTTTAAACAGAATATTTCAATGAAGTCAAAGTGCTACATTTTGTGGAGGAGGAAGAACTGTTTTTGTTTTGAGAAGGTGGTAAGCGGCACAGAGGAGCTTGGCGGACCTCAGTCCCCAGGGCCGCAGAGGCGGACGCGACTGGGCGACTGAGCGCAGCGCAGCACGTAAGTGGCACACGGGAAGCACAGAAACACTCACCCTTTGGGAGAGTACCCACTTCCCTGAGGGCCGAATCAGTTAGCGACTACGCATTTCCATTACTTGGAACAGTCCTAACATACACCTCATGTGTGGTCTTGTGTGTGAGCTCAGTCACTAAGTCGGGCCCAACTCTTTGTGACCCTATAGACTGCAGCCTGCCACGCTCCTGTCCACGGGATTTCCCAGCAAGAATACTGCTGTAGGTTGCCATTTCTTCCTCCAGGGGGTCTTCCCGACTCAGAGATGGAACCTGTCTCCTGAGTCTCCTGCACTGGCAGGCAGATTCCTTACCACTGAGCCACCTAGGAAGTATCTTTCTATGAACAGCAGTAATTTTGCTCTTCATTCTTAGGGTAACTGTATTCCTCAGCATCACCACGGAAACGCGTGGCATTAATAATGCTCTCTTCTGAGCTCTGAAACATTCACAGCAGGTCAGCATGTGACCAACACTGGAACCACAGCTCCGCCTCAGACACCACGGAAACGCGTGGCATTAATAAGTGCTCTGTTCTGAGCTCTGAAACATTCACAGCAGGTCAGCATGCGATCAGCACTGGAACCACAATCCGCCTCAGAGGCGAGGGTCTAACGGTCCAAGGACAAGTGTATGTTGTTTGATCAGCAGTGCCTTAAAAAACTGAGGCATTTCATACAAGCATCCAGACTCGCTTTGTCTTGAAAAATCAAAACATTTTGGCAAACTGGGCCTAAAAATGTCCTGTGGAAACAAATGGCTCTGTTGTGCACTTGCTATGGCCTTTAAAGAGGGAATGTTCTCTCTCTTTCACCCTTCCCCACCACTCACCATTGCCTCACACCACCAGCCTAGCTTGCCAGGCATTTGAATTTGAGCCCACACTCTACTGCCAGTGAAGTCACACCCACTCATCTTTCCCCAGATTTTACATTAATTACTTTGCCAAGTTAACAACCTTTCACGGTCTTCAGCAGTAGGTCCTCCACAATTTCTACCCTAGAAATTTCTATCTTCTAATCAGATACCAAGTAACAGAAGAACATGCATGAGAAAAAGATCTAGGGCATGAAGAATGGATGTATGGATACCAGGGGCGGTGGAGGAGGGGAGGGATGAATGGGGAGATTGGGTCTGACATACATACACTACTGATACTCTGTGTTAAACAGGTAACAGTGAGAACCTGATGTACCGCACAGGGAGTCTCCCCAGTGCTCTGGGGGACCTAGATGGGAAGGAAGCCCCAAAAGACGGGATATACATATACCTGCAGCTGATTCACTTTCTGTACAGCGGAGACTAATGCAACATTGTAAAGTAATTACACTCCGATAAAAATTAATAAATACATTTAAAAAAAGAAAAGACCTAGGGAACTCTTCATTGAAAAACCTTTTCCTACCAAAGTAGTAAAACTCTACTTACCAGTTTGGAATTGGTGACTGGTTTATTTCTTAAAGCTGGGGGTCTATAAGCTGTTGCAGCTTTAGGTTCTTCACTAGGCACATCACTTGGAACTACTTGGTAAGTTATTGCTTTTTCTGGAAATATTCCATCTAAGAATGGCTGCCAAGAAACCTGCCATAATTCTGCATTTGATGGTACATCATACTTGTGCAAGACAGAGCCCGTGTAATGCCAAATCTTGTACCCGTTATTCACACGTAACCGTGGAGCACACGTGGCTGTTAAAATATGCTCACCATCTGGGCACCAGGCAAAATATGTAGAATCGGAGGCCACCGGCTTCGAGATGAGTTTGTACTTTTTAACATCCCACACTTCCATTTGTCCCCTCAGATTCCCGAATCCAGCCAGGACTAATATGTGTCCATGAGGGCTGTAGTAGGCCGCGTTACGAGGGCCAGTTCCAAAGTCAAACACCGGGTCACACTTTAGGTTGAAGACCGTTGCTTTGGCGGGCATGAAACCATACACGGCACAAAACTCAGTAGAACTAGAATTCCAAACCACATCATAAATGGGGCCGTTTTTCGCTAGAACAAGAAGATAAAATCTGTTAGTGATAAGGAATTATATATATGAATGTAATATTTAGCAGCACAAGTTATAATCATACAATGCTCATAAACAAGTCAAATAAGAAAAATCCAAAACTTTCACAGTATGACAAAATTAAGATTTTTACATGACATACTATGGAAATTAATATATAACTATAAATTTAATTAAGAACCCCTAATAAATCTCAATTTCTTTTAAACATTCTGGCAATGTGGACTCATAGAAGCATCAGCTATTATTATTATTATTATTATTAAACTATTGGTAGTTTTCCTTGCCAGAGGCAATATATGTATATAACAATAAAAACACAAACTATATTTAAAAACATGCCACAAAAATAAGCCCCTCTGGTGGCTCAGTGGTAAAGAACTCACCTGCCAATTCAGGAGGTGTGGGTTCCATCCCTGGGTCAGGAAGAGCCCCAGGAGAAGGAAACGGCAACCCACTCCAGTGTACTTGCCTAGGAAATCCCACTGACAGAGAAGCCTGGCGTGCTACAGTCTGTGGGGTCGCAAAGAGTCAGACACGCCTTAGAGACTAAGCAACAATGACAGACAACCAATCCTCTATCATATTTCCTGCATATTATTTCAGAATACTTTTGTTGAAATTAAGCGTCTCTCTCTTAAATACATAAATGCACACACACACACAAATGTTTTAAACCTTTCTTGTTTCATTTAATACTCCTATCTTGGAAATTTTTCCATAAAAGCACATTGAGCTTTGCCCCATTCAGGTGCACTGTGTTCCATTACAAACCCTGCTATTTACCTCCCATTTGTGTAAATGTACACACATAACACCTGTAGGAGAGAAACTGCCTGGCCAAAGGACACATAAATTTACTTGATAATGTACACTGAAATGCCCTTTAAAGAAGTTCCACCAATTTACACTACCAATAATTTTTGATAGCAAAGACTTTCCCCTCACTCTGTTTCATATTTTTATCTTTGCCAACCTATTAAGTGAAAAACTGTGCTTTGTTTTCCTTTATTATAAGCTAAGCACCTTTCAATACACTTGTGCATAATCTTATTTCTTTTTTTAGTGTCCTAAATAGTCCTGTGGACTATTTTTTACTGTACTATACCTATTTTTCTTTCCTATTATTGGTCTTTGTTATACTTAATATACTATCGAAATTCATCTTTTCTCATACTCATCCCTTTTCTAAAAATATTCTTCCCTAATTTATTGTTTGTTTTGCTTAATTTAGGGACTCTTTTCTTCCCCCAATGTAGAAATCCATAATTTCATATACTCAAACTTATCACTTTCCCCATATGATTTCTGTCATGTTTAGAAAATCTTAGTCTACTTTAAGATTAGAAGAAAATTCTCCCACATTTTCTTCTAGTTCTGTAGTTTTAGACATAATTTTTTGGCCCAGCCAGAACTTATTTTGGTAAATGAGTAGTAGCAAAAACTTTTTGCTACAAATAGCCAACTGTCCCCAAACCATATATTAAAAGAGCAGTATTTTCCCCCATGATTCAAATGCTGACTTTATTATAAGTCAATGGCTACAGTATGGATCTACTTCTGAATCCTGTTGTTTTCCACTGATTTATCTGCCTATCCATAACACAGAGCCAGACTGTCTTCATTACAATTGCCTGACATCTAATAGTATCAGAATCCCTCTCTCCTTACTCTTTTTTTTTTTACAAAGTTTTCAAACCATTCTTGCATGTTTACTTTTTGATATTGACTTTGGAACGAGCTTATCTACTTGTAAAAAAAGAAAATCTACTGGCATTCTAATTTAATTTTTAGATCAGTTTAGAGAGAAATGACATCTTTGTAAAATTCTTATGAAAGGTTAGTTTGCCCTTCATTAGTTTTAGTTTTCTTCCCTTCAGTCCTATATATTTCTTGTTTTTTTTGTTGCCGTATATGGAATCTTTCCTTCCATTATGTTTTATAAGAGAATGCTGTTTATACTTTGACAGTCTGCATGAGCTGAGGTGATTTGCTTTTCACCTTTCAAAACTGTATCCTTATTCTTTTGATCAGGAACATTGACTAGGTCTTTCAGAAAGTTAAATAATAGTAGAAAGTATGTGGGGGGGAGTCATCCTTGTTTTGTTCCTGACTTCAATGGGAATATATACTTCTTTAAAAGAAAGTTTACCTTACCCTTACATGTTCAATTAAAAATAAAAAAGATTACCGAGTTGCAGGAGTTTTAAAACTATTAAGTTACCTTAACTCCTTGAAACAAAGTACGAGGTGATTAACACTCTTCAGTTCTGAAGATGATGCTAAACCCACTAGATCAACTTCTTGTCATAGTTAGTTAAATAAGCTCCCAAAGAGCTAATACAGCGGAATTACCTCACTCAGCAAGTTCCCTACTCAACTTGCAGCAAAACTAAATCAACTAATTGGATTCTGTCAAAATACAGTATGTTTGGGGATGAGTTAAATCCCTTAATGAAAATAAATTTTATCTTAAAGGTTGTTAAAACATGTGAGTTCTATCACTTGATCAAGCACTTAGATGTGGACTTCCCTGGTGGTCCGGTGGTTAAGAATCTGCCTTGCAATGCAGGGAAAGTGGGTTCAATCCCTGGTCAAGGAACTAAGGTCACACAAGCTGGGGAGCACCTAAGCCCGCGTGCCCAACTACTGAGCCTGCGAGCCACCATCAGAGAGTCTGTGCCGCAGCTAGGACCTGACACAACTGGGGGAAGAAAAGGACTTAGATGATAACATTTTTGTGGCGCAGTATTTTTGATCATCATCGACTCCGCCAAAGGCAGACTACTGGGACACTCACGTAATTGCACCACGGCACTCTCTCCGTTTGTTGCGATGTAGTGCAGCGTCTGCTCCCCGTAGTAGGAAGCGCCCGTCTTGTCAACATCTGTACTAGCTATTACCAACACAGCAGTAGCTAGAAGCATAAAAACTTTAATTAGGTTTAAAACATAAATTAGCCTAGTGTTAATAAGAAAAGCATTAGAAAATGTAACAGACCATATGTAAATTTTCAATAAATAAGCACTGGTAATTTTTCCTTTTTCTATACACACAGGAATGTAAGTCTACATTAATGCTTGATAAACAAAATGGGAGATAAAAAGATATTTATCATACCTTTTTTATTCCACAGCATTGTGACCTTATCAGCCTTAAAGAAACTTTTATTGGCTAAAGCTGCATGAGGTTCATCAAAGTTGGGATACTGATATAATCTAACAAATGAAGGTGCACCCTTACTTCCTGGAACATAGACAGCCACCTAAGATACACAGACATAAATAAACACTTAATTTTTTGAAGCATATAAACTAAGATGGACATGTCTTTAAAGTCACCAAAAACTAGGAAAAGGTTTAATCTCATACCATTCCACATGAACAAACAAAAACATTAGCAATTACCTTGTATGGTTGGGGTCCAGGTGATAACACAAAATCATTAATTTTTTTCAAATGTAATTTATTTGCAATTGTGTCTAAAAAAAAAAGTAAACTGTGTTAGGTTAATGAGCGAAAGCTAACGGATATGTATCAAATTCTGAATACATTATAAAAGGTTAACACAACTATACACAAGCTGCGGTCTCATGGAGGCAAGGCAGAGCTACACAGCAGAAACAGCATGGGTGAGAGCGAGACAGAGCGGCGCCTGCACCTGCTCAGGCGCTGCTAACTGTGCGACGTGTGCCAAGCAAGAGGGTCGCACACTCAATCCCGAGTGCACAGTACAGGCACAAAGTCGGTATTCAAGAGGTATCAGCTCTCTCCCCTTAAACCTCTGACTAATGTCGTCTTAGAGCCCATCTGATGGGAAAGATGACTCTAGCTTGCTGCTGTAGAATGTGGATATGAAAATTCCATAACTAACATGATACACAGATCCATAACAATGATAATCACAACAACAGTAACAATAACAATGGCTGGATATTTGTTGAATGATTACTCTGTGCCAGGCAGTAAGAAACCTCATCATTACTACTCTCACAGTCAATGGGATCAAGAGCTATTACTCTTCCTTTGTTCAAATATAGAGATCAACAGCTGTTCAAAAGCAGCATGTCCAGCTATTAAACTGGCAGCCCCCTCCTTTCAGCATGCTCATGAAGTGGCGAGTAAGGTAAGTAAGCAAGCTAACCCCAAACCAGCAGGTTAAGTCTCACAAGCAGGAAATTGAAGGGTATAGCTAAATGACTGTGTGGACATTATCAAAATCAGCCTGCACACCATCTCTGGTAGATATGAACAGTTTCTAATTCCCATTCTACTTTCTGAACTTACAACATGGTTATGTCCTGATAAGCCCATTGTAAGTTGAAAGTATCATAAGCTGAAAATGCATTTAATACACCTATGTACTGAACATCATCGCTTAAGTTAGACTACCCTAATGTGCTCAGAACACTTAATGTTAGTCTATACTTGAGCAAAATCATTAAACACGATGCTGATTTTACAATAAAATGTTGGATATCTCATGTAACCCATTGAATACTGAACTAAAACTGAAAAACATAAAGGCTGTAGAGTCCAGAATAGCTGTAAGCTTATCAGTTGTCGACCCTTGTGATCACGAGGCTGACTAGGAGCTGTGGCTCACTGCTGCTACCCAACATCATGTATCAGACCACGTATTTCTAGCCCAGGGAAAGATCAACACTCAAAGTACAATTTCTACTGAATATATATCACTTCCATTTTATTATAAAGTCAAAGAAGATAAGTCAAACTATTTCAAGTCGGGGACTGTCTGTACTGAAAACTGTTCAGTCACCAACAGAATGCTCTAAGGACAAAAGGAGCTGCAAAATTTCTTCTTTAAAGTATTTTTCAGTCATCATGTTACTGGTGTTATATTGCTGGTACTGCTATTCTAAGAACATTATGTGGTCGAGTAGAACAAAGCAAATGAATAATATTGTGGGTGTGCTATTCTCAAACTATCACCCCTGGCAGCCCAGAGAACCAGATTCTCAGTGTTAGCAAAAAACAATACAGATGAAAGATAAGAAAAAAGAAAAAAAGGAGTAGAAATAATGATCAATCAACGCAGTAGCAAAGAGAATCCTCTACACCCAGACTGCAGTCTCTAAATACCATTTTCCACCAAAAGAAAGCAGAGTGTACTAGAGAATTTGCTGATTATAGGTATACAGCAAGAAATAAACAAGATAACCCTAGAATGACTTGTCCCACCATACAGCAAAGAAGTCATTAAAGACCAATTACAGGACAATTTAAGCATTAATAAGAGTAATTTTTAAAATACATTAATCATATATGTTCATTAGGTTGGGGGGAGGCTAACTTGTCTAAGGGATCTAGTTGCTAGTGAAAGAATTCATTTTGTTAAAAGTGATAAAGGAAAAGAATATTTATCTTGCCTTTCCGATATAAAAAGTACCACTAGATAACCAAATAGTAGAAAGGGGAATTCTCTTTATAATGGTAGTATAAACTAATAAATGAGATGAGAAGGAGGGAAACTTTAATATCAGCAATTTCTAACCACTCATGAAATAATGGATCAAGGCACTGAATATTAATGCCAATTAACTATACAAAGTAAAAGACAATGAGACATTAGGCGCTTCTTAATAAAAAAAAAACACTGCCTTATGATGATGTAGTCTTGCCCTCATCTCTCCCGAAAAGAACTTGAAACTGACGAGCGCTAGATTCAAATAGTTATTTACAGGAAATAGATGAATATGGTAAATTACAGAATAGGATACAAGAGCAAAACTTAAACTATGGGAAGATATATAATACAAGTAACCTTGTTTCTAAAATAATAGACTGCAGGGAGAAAAAAAAGAATATAGAGGAAATCTATATTTAAAGAAATATATCAACTGTAATATGAAAGACCTTATCTAGATGTTGAGTTTCAAAAAACTTAAATTTGCAATTATTAGAAATTTGAAACTGACCAGATATTTTATAATCTGTGATAACAGTATTATGACTACCTTACTGAAATATTTACAGGTAAAATTATATGATGTTTATGATTTGCTTAAGCAGAGTAAAAGAGATGGTAGGTGAACAGATGCCTGGATGAAGAAGGACTGGCAGCAGGCTGATGATTACTGGGACTAAGTGTCTACTTTTGTGTTTGAAATTCTACACAATATTTTTAAAATTTGTATCACAGAATTTTAATAGCAACTAAATTCAGTAAGAGCTATTCAAATATATTAATTTAGCAGTAACTAGATAGTAAAATTTTATTATAAAATAGTATCTTTGTTATAACATTTTACTAGCATTTAGACTTGAGTTACTCAAATGAATTCCTATAACAGCAACTGTTAATATAAAAACAATATTTAGGAGAACCGTATGATGCCATATAAGGCAATAAAAACTGTACATATTTATAGTAAATAATAAAATTATTTCATAAATCTTTCCATACTAAAGTTGTTGTTTTCAAAAAAGTGAACTTCGTTGTTAACATTTCGGGCACAGAGCGTTTCATCTTCTGACCAGGAAGGACACCTACAATGAAGAGCGAGAATATAACTGTAACATGTTAACGTTTATGATACTGTTTACCATTTAAGGGAGAATACGCATAAACAAAGAAAGATAAAGATCTTACTCTATCACATTTTCACATGCAAAATCCTTAAAGGTCTAGACTTTGATCTGACAAGTTATATTCTAAATTATACCAGAGAAACAAACAATATACAACAAAGATATTAAAAATATTTAAAAATAACTAACATTTTAAAGCACTTATTTACCAGTTTTGCATTTTTTTCTGAATGAAGGACTTCAAACATGTTCCAGTTTTCAAATCATAAAGTTGCAGGTTGGGTATCCCAGCTGTATCATCTTTAGAAGCTGCCATAAAAATAAATTTTTTTTTGCAGTAACTGTCTCCTAACATCAGCAAAAAGATTTCCTTCTTAGAAAAAATTTCAACAAGATTAGGTAAGAGGTGCTTTAAATCAACTTTCCCCTCTAACTTAAATTATAGATTTAATCATTCATTCCTAAAGCCATGACGCTATGACAGCTGTTTGACAAGTTCAGTATTTCTGAAATGAGTCAGTTACTACAGTTTTTAAAAATACTTAGATCTCTGTTGTTAAGTCTGATGTGGTTTGCTGCTAAACAGACTAAACTGTCTTATTACGAAAGCTGTGTCTATAAGTCACACACATGAAAAAAAGTTACATAAAACCACTCACAGTTCTCAACTGATTCTCCAATTCTCTTTTACTTACTTGGAAAACTAAGATTCATTACAGTGCATGCCTCTTGGAAGAACAAACTCAGAAGGTTTATAACCCAATAATGAACTACTAACATATATTTATTCAACAATATTCACATTATTACAAAATGCTTTTTAATTAGATGATATGTCTACTGTACTTCCTCTTTCATTTATGCTTATATAAAACATTTTTTTATTTTAAAACTATTATTCTTAATTTTTGAGATCTTCTTTATCCAATGATTATTTACTTTATACATTTTCCCTTGAGCTTTTTCTTTTCCTCTATCTCATGACAAATCTTCTAACTTGAAATCATTTAAAGTACAATGTATTTGGGGAATGCAAGATTCATTGTTGATTAAAAACATTCTTAAACACTGCTTAGTATTATAAAGATTAATCACTTTCCTATAAGGTTATAAACCTCCTCTTTGTTCCCCCACTGAATTGCATTGGTCCTATCAGAATCCTTTTCCAGTTGGAATATACTTACTAGTGTAAGGCTGCCATGTTGCCAGGACAGTGTTTTTTGGCGAGAACTCAAGGCAAACTGCCTTTGGAAGGTCGAAGGAGTGCAGCAGGCCCTTGGTAGTGACACTGATAACATTTATTCTGGTTTCAAAAGAAATTACTTCAGCAATGAAATACTGTTTCACAACAGTCAGCACTATCCAAAACAGTCATACTTCTTTTTAGATACAGATCACTCTGAAGTGTTCATTTTTCATAAAGATCAATTTTCAGCTAGTTCTACAAAATATCCAATAAATACTCTAACATAAAAAAGTGTATGTTTTACCAAAAGGCCCCTATTTAAGGCTGGTGCTCGGAATTAAAATAGAATTTTCAAGAAGACACAATAGATGATACTACCTTTAGCCAAAAAGGAAATAACAGGCCTTTGAGTGAACACAGTACAAACCCACAGACAAGCAAAGGAATATAAAATTCAAGAGAAAACAAAAAGTGTATTTTTTAATTTGAGTAAACAGAAACTGCAGCAGCTGGGGAAATCATCAAGGAGCGCTTTGATGTCTGTTAAAATCTTAGAAGCATTTTCCAAAAGACACTACTATAAGAATTATCATGATACAATAAAGACAAAAATGACAATAAGTGTATATAAAAAAAGCAGTTTCCATTTTTTGGAACATTTTCTACGTACTATGTTCTGTTTTAACCACGTTATGTACATTTTCTAATTTAATCCTCACAACACTCTCATAAAATAGATATTAACATCTCCATTTTACAAATGGTAAAACTGAAGGTTAGAAAAAAAAAGTGATATGATTTGATGATTTGCCCAAGACCATACTACTAATAACTGCCAGAGCAAGGCTTTGACACTTTTATGGCCTGACTTGCTCTTCTGTAGTCCGTGGGATTAAAAAAAAAAAAAGATATTCCTTCTCACTGCAGAAATTCCTTATTTTGTTCAACTCAAGTTTGAGAACACTGGGTTAAGATAAGCAAAAACTACTTAAACACACAGACACACATGCTTACAACTGTAGATTCTTTACAGTTTACTGTAAAGTACATATTTAGAATTACAGGAAGGTTTTTTTTGTTGTTAATAAGCATTGAAGTTATTCTTAGTTTAATGAAGGGTGTGTATTTTAAATATGCATGTATTTAAGGAAAAATCAGCTATAGCTTCTGACTTAATGAACCATGGCCTCAGCAAAGACTACAATCAATACACTACACCTGTTTCTCTTGCCCCAGGAACAATATGCATTGCTGTGGCTGCAGCACCTTAAGGAAATACTAGAGCAAGATATAAAAAAATCTATTTAAAAAGATGAATGGACACAACATGTGGGAACATAGTAAAAGGATTGAGTTGAATTCAATAGAAAGCAAAGTAGAGATAGGACATATAAAACAATTAATGATAATTGCCAAAGTGAAAATAAACTTACTCAATAAACTGTAAGTTATCAGAATAAAGGATACATCAAAAAGATAATAGGCAATGAAAAGACATATGGTATATCCTATCAGATAGTAAATTTCTATCAACTTATTACCCAAATAGTACAAACTAAAATATGGATTTAAAAACAATACAACCCAACAGGTTACACCTAAAGAAATAAGTTGAAAGTACATCCTTTCTTTTGAGACTAAGACTGTTAACATTGTGAATAAGACCCAATATAATTACATTCTTAATAATTTGAGAGTAGTAGTTTGTTGATTGTACTTAGTAACTTAAAAAAAATGCTAATGAACATTTTTAATTATAAAAGTGAATCCTGCCAGCTACTTATAATTGTAGAAGTGAATCAACTAACTCAACACAATCTTTCTAGCACTTTTAAAAATCATGTGTTTAATCCAACCTGACCTGATAGTCAAAAGACCTGAGACTATATTACCATGATGTAAGAAACACTTAAAATGCACTTTTGAAAGTCATGTAATCGTTTTTCCCTTTAAAAATCTAAGCTACTGTATCTGGCTAAGCACAACAACACTAAAATAACTTTAAATCAAGCAATATTCGCGCATTTTTCCTGGTTCTGTTAATTAAAACGCAGCTGACTATGGAAAATGGAACAGGATTAGTTTTCTGAGTGAAATTATGACACTGAAATCTAAATACTTATTTTTCTGTAAGACCAATTTTATAATCTGATTATTTTATGTAATATAGACTCTACCAAACATATTTCTGAATAACTTACTTAATGACATGCTGTTATCTACAACAAAATTAATAGCAATAAATACAGCTGTTAAGTAATCTAACAGCAAAAATATAAAGTATCTAAGATAAAGGAGCAAAGAGAATTATTCTCTAAGTATTAATGCAGAACTCAAGAAACCCTAACCAGTAACTTACAGCACTACTTAAAACAAACTCTTGGCATTAAAAAAAAAAAAAACTCTTGGCATTAAATTAATAGCCCCTTTTCATATGTTCCTTTTTAATTCTAAGAAACTGGAGAACTCAAACAAGTGTAACACATAAATAGAAACTAACAACTTTGGAGATGTTCTGTGGATGTTATACTGGAGATAATACCTAATTGCACCAAGACTATAAAGATGGACTTTATAAATGACATCCAAATACATGTTATTCAAATTAAACAATTATGTTTTATATTCATGGAAAAAAAAGGTATATAAATAAACACTAACTTTTCTCCATTGCCCCAGGCAAACAAGGTCCCATCCTTACTAAAGGTATAGGCTTTGCAATTTTTCCCAGATTCTCTGAAAAATGACAAGAAAAAAAAAAGCTTAAATTAATAAACATTAATACCTTAAAAAAACCTAATCAAAAATCCACAATCTTACTAATTTAGTGACTGAGAACTTACATAAGTTTTAGAAAATAATTCCAACATGCTTTAGTTTGTCCAAAATACTTTCCCTCTTAAACTGTAGTGGTGACTACCACTGTAAAGTAAGCTGGAAGTCGATTTTTATACAACAGACCAATTTTAAGTAAGAGAGAGCGCCCTTTGGGGTGAACCACTAGTTTGTCTGGAAACTCAAAGAGGTAAGTGCGTGTGGAAACTAGGAGTTGCTGGGTGGTTCAGTGGCAAAGAATCTGTCTGCAGTGCAGGAGACCTGGGTCTGACCCCTGGGTCGGGAAGACGCCCTGGAGAAGGAAATGGCAACCCACCCCAGTATCCTTGCCTGGAAAATCCCATGGACAGAGGACCTGGTGGGGCTATTCTCATGGAGTCATAAAAGAGTCGGACAGGACTTAGCAACTGAAACCAAACAACAAGGGGGAAGTTACCAGCTGTCAGTCCTCATCCTGAGACAGCTGAAGGATTTCGACACAGCTTTGTAAAGAAAGTCCTGAACCACCAGAGTAACAAAACTATGGTGGATGCAGTGCCCTCCGGCAGCCAACAAGTGCCCCTGGATTTGAGAGACAAAGATCTGCCACCAATTTCTCCTGTGCAGGCATGGAAAGTATTAGCCACCAGAAGAGGATATTCACATCAAATAAATACGGATGCAGCATTCTATACAAAAACTAACCTGTGGACCTTGGACTTCTTGGCAATCTTCTATCAACTGATCAAAACTTTAAGCACTGTATCTCTCAAATGGAGATGGCCACTGTGAGTACAACTCCCAGAGATAATGAAGACCCATGAAGAAACGTGTGTGTGTGTGTTCAGTAATGTCCATACATATAGTCACAACATCAGATCAGAATTTTGTAGCTAATAAATACTTGAATTGTCAGATAACAACACACTGAGAACTCACCAGTACACTCCTTCTAAACAGGGCACTATCTTTGCATTAATTCATCTGAAGATGACATTTGTGTTTCTGCAATGCACAATAATGCCCAGATCTAAAAGCCTGATTAGAAGCAGGTTTTTAAAAATCTTCATAGAAGGTAAATACTACACTGTTCCTATTGCAACTCACCACGAGACACGTAATGTCTCCTTGTTCTACTCTTAGTGACACTGAGATTGTACTGGACTCATTATGCACCTCCTCAGATCCAGCGAATCCTTCCTGCTCCCAGGCGCCAGCCCTTCAGGAAGCAATGTGGCCACCTCATCTCCTTACCACCACTGGATGTCTCAGACTCTTAAGGAATGCGGGCCACATTTCAGCATGGCTCCCACTATACCTACTGCAGCAGCAGGCAGAGGGGCACTGGCACTCAGATTCAGCCCAAAGAGATCAAAAGAGACTCAGGCTGCCATGGATTCTGTGCCCACTCCCTGAATCACAGGCTGTTCTAAGGCACAGTGGTTCTACACAGCCTCACGGGAGAGATTCTGCATGACCAAGCAACCTGGCTGGATGTTGTGGACTGGAGCTCAGCTCAGTGCATCCTATTCTACGTTTCCTTTCACTTCCTTTTCTCATTTCCCTTTCTCCCTCAGTTCTGCTGCCTTGGGACTGCACACCCCAGTGAAGTGCAGCACAAAAGCTTTAATACAGACTCATTTTCTAAAGTGGTACTTTTCAAATATTAATGTGCATACAAATCATTGAGGACCTGGTTAAACTACAGACTTTGATTCAGTAAACTGAGTAGGGCCTGAGATGTTATATTTCTGCACTGACTCAAGATGTTGCTCATATAGTTGTCCTTGGTCCCATATTTTCTGTAACAATGTTCTAGAGAACTGGATCTAATAAAAAAGTCATCAATAGAGTCAGCCGATGGCAGTCTGATTATAAAGTTCCCTATCAACAGTTCATCTAGCAGTTTCAGCATCTTTCGAAGATCATTTGCCTAGATCAGTTGTTCTCAAAGTGTGGTCTCTACACTTGAAGCATCAGCATTAACTGGGAACTTAAAAATTCTTATTCTTTGAGTCCTGACCCAGATCTACTGAATCAGAAAACCTAAAGAGGAAACAGTATCCTCTGTGTGTGTGAGTTTTTAATAAACTCTTCAGATGATTCTGAGGCATGCGAAAGCTTGAGAACCACTGATACATGACTTCTTTAGGATAAAGAAACGGTGATTATCTAAGCCCAACTTTCCTTCTGGGTTTATTACTGCTCTATAGATAAGTTTTCATCATCAACAGTTTGGTTTCTCTGAAAAAGTTTGTACAGGAAAGGTAACATAAATGCTTGACTTTTTTTCTTTATCAGTTTTCAAAGTAATGGACAGGATCCCATCAATGTCTAATACTGACCAATAATATTTGGAAGGAGAAAGATTTTGGAAGGAATATTTATATACTTGACATGCCTTAATTTTTGGTCATTATTCTCCTTAATCCTCAAATTGTTCTCCCTAAGGTTGGCATGAACTCTTCCAAGTTGACGCCTATCACGGTTTAGCAAAGTCCCCTCAGGCTGAAATTTAATGAAGACGAGAGGCAGTGGTCTGGCTATCACATTCACAAGTTCTTCCTCATTCCTCTAAACCTCAGGCATGAACTAAGTTACACTGTTGTCTAGACCTTTTAAATGTACTCAAGCTATTGTTTTCAAATCTAAAGGTCATTTTTTTGGATAGAGAATATGCATTCTTCCCATCTTCTGTTAACATTATATGATATGTCCCAAGAAACTAGCTTGTCTGTTCTTTTTTTGTTCTCTATATAACATCACTCAACAATAAAAACCATACCTTGGGAACACTGTGCTTTCTGTAAAATGTGGTGGTCCATTTACCATGTACAGCCCTTCTGATCCTCGGACTACAGGAAGAAAAGGGAAAGAATTAGCATTACTTCGTTAATAAATACTCAGTCATCACAAATGTTTAAAAAAGTGAAAAGCTTCCAATCAAAATACTAATAAAATTACCAAACATCTCATAGAACTATTGAACATCAGCATTAAATGGGTACATTTTTCTTCCTCTTCTGCATAAAATCATGTAACTGCTGGGAAATAAATAGGTAATGCAAAGGCTTGAATGTCTGTTTCTCCACAAAAGGCTCATGTTGAAATCCTAACTCCAATGTGATGGTACTTGGAGGAGCATTTCAGAGGGTTATTAGATCACAAAAGTGGATTCCTCATGAATGGGATTAGTACCCTTATAAGAAAAACACAGAGGATGTGTGAGGCTACAATACACTGGCAGACAACAAACAAGAAGAGGGTTCTTACCAGAACCTGACCACGCTGGCACCCTGGGCTCAGACTTCCAGCCTCTATAACTCTATCTTCAGTTGTTTACAAGTTACCTAGTGTGCGGCACTTTGTTCTAACAGCCTACACTGACTGAGGAGCTTCCGAGTTGGCACTAGTGGTAGAGAACCCGCCTGCCAATGCAGAAGACATAAGACATGCGGGTTCAACCCCTGGATCAGGAAGATCCCCTGGAGGAGGGCATGGCAACCCCCTCTAGTATTCTTGCCTGGAGAATGCCATGGACAGAGGAGCCTGGCGGGCTGCAGTCCATAGTGTTGCACAAAGTTGGACACGAATGAAGCAACTTAGTGGGCACACCTGCAAACTGACTGAGACAGTCCATATTCTTCTTATTTTTTTCTGCAGAGCATACTCATTTAGTCTCTAAGGAGATAACTTCAATAAACCCACTTTTATCTATCTTACAAGAAATCTATGCATGTGCATTGAAATATAACATTCATACTTATATGCTTTCACTCAAATGGAAAAAAGTGATCTTAGTATAACGTTTTCACATTATTTTGTAATCTCATTTTCAAAATGTATGGCTGTTGGAAACAGAATTAGAAGCTGAGTCTAAGTTAAATCTTTGTATCAGCTTACTGTTTCAAGTAAGTTTTATAAATAAAAGCTCAAAATTGTAACTGTCACCAGTGAAAAGTAGTTGTACTGGAACAGAGGACATGAAGTCAAAGGCAGACCACAGTTCCCACCTGGCTGTGGAAACTTGGATATATTACTACCTCAAAGTCTGTGCCCTAATCAGCAAAATGAAAACTTTAGAACAATGTGTGCTTTATGTAAGATAATAACATGAAAATACAACATAAATTCATGCAAAGTTCTTTAAAAAAGAAAACAACAACAACAAGGCACTGTTAATATAGTCACAATTTCTTAAACTAAGAGAATAAGTAGTATGAGACCGACACCCCCAATGATACTAATGTCCTAAAAAATTAGGTGGGAACAAAGTTCAAGATTAAATAAGCAAAAACATCTATAGATTCTACTTTGTTTTAAATGGCTGAATTAGAAGCTTATAAAGCCGAACCAAATAAAATGATCCATTCATTCAACAAATGTTTACAGGGAGAAAAAAAAACTACCTCTCCTGTTAAATACTACAGATACAATAGGGAGAAAAATCACTCTTGTCCCTGACCTCACTGATCAATTAATTAGTCAAATAGATGGAAATCTATAGCTGCATTTGGTGCTACAAAGGAAAGACAGAAGAGGCTACTAGAGTGAATAATTCGGAGTTTCAATCTAAAAATCGAAGGACAGGAAAAGCATCCTTGATAAGTGATTCGTGTGATGTGAAAGATAAAATAGCAGTTAACAAGCACGGAGTGACAGTAACGAACAGAAACCCCACGGCAGGGAGACGACAGCATCGCGGGAGTGGAAGGAAGGCCTGTGTGGCTGGAGGGAGATCTAGAGAAGAAAACAGGGCTCAGACCAAACAGGATCCTGGGGCCTGAGTTAGGCAGTATTAGACTGGAGCCGAAGAACCACGGGAAAATTCAAAGAAGTTTTAGGCAAATTTTTAAAACCAGATTTGCAATTTGAAAAGGTCCACCTGACACAGTGTAGAGAGAGAACCAGAAGGCAGTGAGAGGGTGTGAAGAGACTGCTCAGATGGTCTGCAGGAGTCCCACAGGAGAGCTAACAGAAACCTGGGCAACTCCCTAGTGGTCCAGTGGTTAAGGACCCTTGTGTTTCTACTGCTAGGGGCCCGGGTTTGATCCTTGGTCAGGGAACTATGACCCTGCAAGCTGTGCAGCATGGCAAAAACCAGACAGAAACCTTGGACTAGGGGCCAGGCAGTGGAAACGGCAAGAGGAGGATCAGCGTTCAACATTCAAGAGAGAAAACTGACAGAACTTGGTGACGAGTTACTATTTTATCAGCTAAAATTCATGCTGGCAGCAACAGCACAGACCTGAAGAAAAGGTTTCACTGAAGTGCATCTGCTTCCTTTTCTAGCAGCTATTTCCAAATCTCCACTCTTCAGCAGCAAAGCTGGTACCCAAGGCCCTTGGGAGCCCCACTCGGGGCTCCAACTCATCCCTGTCTCCTTTCCCTTGCCAAGGGACAGTCCTCATAACAGTGATTTTCTGCCTATAGATTAACGACCTCAGTTTTCAGATACTGAAAACTGCTACTTTTCAAAGTAAATATTTTAAAGTTAGAATGAAAGTAAAAGAACCAGTGACAAACAAGATAAAAATCTATGTACTCAATGGAGCTTTCATTCTAGTGGAAAGATGAGATATAAGTTGAGTAAACACATAACTGAATGATAAGTTTCTTGTCTACATTCACAAGTACACAACTGGATACCATGTTTCCTCATATACTAAACTGAATTGCCAAACTGTGGTGGGTAATTTGCCCTTGAACAGAATGGAGTCTAGCAAAGTATTCTACATATATCAACACCTAAACTCCTCACAGGACCGCCTACAAGGCTCTCTATCTGGTCCCTGCCCAGCTTCATGTGCTACGCATTAGGGATTTTTTTTTCCCACTGTGCAACCCACTTCAGTGCCTGCAGCCTACGGGCAGAGGCCGGGCAATGGTCCGGGGCCAGTTTAACCCGCTTCAGTGCCTGCAGCCTACGGGCAGAGGCCGGGCAATGGTCTGGAGCCAGTTTAACCCACTTCAGTGCCTGCAGCCCACGGGCAGAGGCCAGGCAATGGTCCGGGGCCAGTTTTCTCTGCATGGGGCACCATGAGAGGCCCAGGGGCATGGGCCTGCCAGAAATCCAAACCCATGCACTGCACTAGGGACCTTAGAAATGAGTCCATCACCACACTCAGGAGAGCGGTTCCCAGCCCGCTCAGCCCACGGCTGCACCGTGAGTGAAGCACTGGTGAACACCTGTCATAAAAACCTCTAGTATTTAGTAAACACTTTCTGTCAAAAAAATGTGATCTTAGATGACTTGAAAACTATGAAGTTTAATGCTTAACATCAGAAATTCTCAACTGTTTCTTGGTTTTTTTCCTAAGATTTTTGGACATGGACCATTTTTAAAATCTTTACTGAACTTGTTACAATATTGCTTCTGTTTTATGTCTTGGTTTTTTGACCATGAGACATGTGGGTTCTTAGCTCCCTGACAAAGGATGGATAAAATCTGCACCCTGCTGCACTGGAAGGCAGAGTCTTAACCACTGGACAGCCAGAGAAGTCCTGTTCTTGGCCTTTGACTAAAATCAAGTATTCCGTCAAAATTCTCTTTACTACACAGGCAAAGCTGTGCTCTTTCCTGTCACCAAGTCAATCACCTGCTGTAATACAATGTATGATACACTGATTTAGAAGAAAAGACACCATTCTTAACACTACGATTATGGTTTTAATAAATATTTGAAGGATTAATAAAAAATTAATTTCCCAAACTAGGACATATACAGTTATCAGATTACAAGTTATCGCTAGGTTACATCATATTCCGTCAGCCTGATGAGGTCCCTCTCACAAACTGCGGTGACAGAAACTCACTAAGCACTCTTTCAGAATTCTCACACTCATATAGGAAAACAAAATGGTACATTGTCAGCACAGACCCAATGAAGCCACAAATACTTCTTAAAATGTGCCATATGATGAATGCAATCAAACCATGTTCTACCCAAAATGACCAGCAAAGAAGAAAAGAGCCATCCCCTGCTCGTCTCAACTTATGTTCTCATGGCATTTGTGCCTAGTGACCTCGGTCCTCTTTGTCTGTTGATTCTGCTGTTATTACCAACCCAGTGTTGACTTGATGAAAATTCAAAGGTTTTCTATGTTATACTAAAGTGGCAGCTGTACCTCAGAACCCAAGAAGCCTTCTGCCATAGCAGTGGGAACTTTCAGGGTACTCAGGGCAATCAGTACAGGTACAAGATTTTCCTCTTACAAAATTCCTATGTCATACTTATATTCCAAACTAAGGTAAGTAGAAGATCCCAAAAGAGTTGCTATCGACTGACTGTCTGTGTACCCCGACCCCAAATTCATAGGCTGAAACTTAATCCTTAATGGTATTTGGAGTGGCTTTGGGGAGGTAATTAGGTCAAGAAGGCAGAGCCTTTATGAACGGGATTAGTGCCCTCATGAAAGAAGCCCCACAGAGCTCCCCTGTCTCTTTTGCCATGTGAGGACATGGTGTAAAACGGCTGTCTATAAACCAGAAAGCTGGTGCTCACCAGACACCAAATCTGCTGGTGCCTTGATTTAGGACTTCCCAACCTCCAGAACCGTAAGAAATAAATTTCTGTTGGCTACCACCCAGTCTTGGAGTAGGAAATGTTAACCACTCCAGTATTCTTGCCTGGATAACTCCATGGACAGAAGAGCCTGGCAGCTGCAGTCCATGGGATCACAAGGACCTGGATACAACTGGGAACTGAGCATGCTTGTACAACCCAGACTATGATATTTGTGTTACAGGAGCCAGAATGGACTAAGACAGGGAGCAAAACTCCCACTTAACCCACACTCTTTCATGCAGATTATTAACCCAAAATCTCAGAAAGCAACTGATAGAAAAGTCAGT